ATAAGGATCTTCAACACAGATAGGCATGGAGGAAATCTTTTGGTCAGGAAACACGGACAGTTTGGTCAGGTCGAACTCATTCCCATAGATCATGGCCTCTGTTTACCCGAAACCCTAGAGGATCCATACTTTGAATGGATCCATTGGCCGCAATCCTCCATTCCGTTCTCCGATGAAGAACTCGACTACATAAACAAGCTTGATCCTGTCCGTGATTCTGAGATGCTCAGAAGAGAGCTCCCAATGATCCGTGAAGCTTGCCTTAGGGTTTTGGTCCTCTGCACGGTTTTCCTCAAGGAAGCTGCCACTTACGGGCTCTGCCTGGCAGAGATAGGCGAGATGATGAGCAGAGAGTTTCATGGAGGTGATGAGGCCCCCAGTGAATTAGAGATAATGTGTATGGAGGCAAGTAAACTGGTGGTTGCTGAGAAGGTGGAGGATATTGTATCTGACGATGAGAGCAACAGTTTCCAGTTTGACTTGGATTTTGATGATGGTGCTGGTGGTGAGTGTGAGGCTACTCCATTTGGTTTTGCATTTAAAGGGAGGGAGGAGATGCAAGAAGGTTCTAGAAAGAGTAACATCAAGCTGCATCGGAATCTTCTCGGGAGTTCAGAAACGGAAAGGGGGCACGTGATCACGTCATGTACGGGGCACCGAAGTGCAGACGAGGAGATACGCCGCAGTGTTGGTTTTGTGAAGCTGGGGGATATGAAGGAGGAAGTGTGGGCAATGTTTTTGGAGAAGTTTTTAGAAGTAGCGCACCCGGCTTTTGCTAAGCGGAGGTCAGTCACCCTTGGTCAGAAGCAGCTTCATAGGCTCGGGTCTTCTTGCCAGTTTTGACAACATTCTTTAGAACTCAAAAGCTTTTGTTTTTGCCCGTTTAAGGTGAGGTCATATACAGCTAAACTAATCATAAGTAGATTTCAGTGGTGGCAGCCGCAGGGTAATCCTTTCATTCTCGGAGGATATTGGTATATGGTAAGAGAGGTCGTAGATATAATGGGTTATATACTTGTATGTATTACTTTCTTCTTAGATGTTACTTCGCTTTTACATCAAGTGTTGTTAGATAGATAAATAACATGGACTAATAGTTTGTATGGTGGTTTGTGAAAAGATCAAAATGAACGAAAATAAGTATTCATTGGTAGAAGATGTCGGAATCGGATTCTTTTATTGTACAACTGTTTTGGTTAAAATGTCAGTCTGTATTAGATTAGCTGACAAATTATTAGTGATTAATTATAATTCGAAATGCAAATTTTCTATCAGCTTGACATGATTTGGTTGGTCAGAAAAGATGTGTGGATTTTAATACGGAGTAATTTTCTATCAGCTTGACACAATTCGAAAAGCTTTGTCAAACATTTCACATTCAATATACTCCGTATACATGATTCTGTGTTTGAGATTTGATTAAAGAAATAAAATGAATCATTTATTAAAAATATTCAATATGTCCTGTGTTTGACTGTTTGTCTCCTTTCTAAAGTCATTCCATTATAAGGTCATGCACTGAATAAAATGTCATATAAATCGGTATACTCATAAAAAGCAATCAGATGAGTCATAATAATCCATTGACAGCCTCCTAAATTCGATTTTAGCTTACGAGTCATTATTTTTGCCTGATATTTAAGTTAATCCTGACTAAATATTTCATGTCACACTTGTAATATATTTTAAAAATATAGCTAGACGTGCGCTAAAACCGGAATTACGAGGTTGTCAAAAAGTTGTTAGGATTCATCTTATTGCTTTTTATAGACATATTTATATGATATTTTATTGAGTACATGACCTTATGTGACAATTTCATAAGATTAGAATGCCTTATTTGACTTTTTTCCCTTTACAAATCTAATAATTGCACATCAATATTTTAAATTATTGAGTTACTTTTTTTCCTAAGCTCAATATTTGTGTTACACTTGATGCCAGGGGCGGAGCTAGGGGGTCAACCGACCCAGCTGTTTGAGAGTATAGAGATCTGAACTCTCACCTGAAAGTTTGAGAGTATAGAGATTTGAACTATCTTCGATTTGATATATTATGGCCCCCGTAACTCATTACGAGTAAAATGATATGACTTCTGGAAAATCAGCATTATCTGAACGTAAAATCAGCGAAATTTGATGCGTAATATTGATTATTTTCCCAAATTTTAAAAATAACGTATAATTAACTTACGTGACATGATTCAGAAACGAAGCAAAGATAATCTATCTTATTGCTACGAGTACTTATTTATCTAACTACAAATGAAACTATCTACCATTTTTCATTTCTTACATATTTGATTCTCGACCCCCCTTAGACGTTTTTCTGACTCCGCCACTGCTTGATGCGTGTGTTAAATTTGAAGTCCCTCAATTTATGGACAACTGTGGCAAGAAGATTTTTTAAGCAATTTAAAAAGTAAAGAAGTTATAACGTGTTACTTGATTTGTTAAATCTGTATTTGCAGTTTCGGCCATGTTTGCATGCTAATTTATGAGCGTGTAGGAGAATGTTAAGCCTGTATTTAATTGAAATGTAATGAGTTAGACTCAGCTTTTCAAAAGGAAGTTTGCAAACAAGCATTGTAATTGGCAAACTTGTTTGATAAGTCAAAACTTATTTGTTTAAATTAAGTGTAGCATAAAGTTCACTCAGTCCGTTCATAACAAAGATTTGGTGGAAAAAATGTATCCAATATGCTAATATGGAATATTACTCCGTATTATATAAAGTACCAGTACATAATGAGCTATGGACTAAGAGAAGAATTGATACTGTACATTTAAGTGATAGATTATAATGATCTCGAGACATCTCTATTTTATATGAATAGAAAGATTAGAGAAAAGTAGATAAAAGTGTCAATGTTAAAAATGATACCTTTCTATGGTAAATTACATCCTACAGCCGGCTGTACCGTGCGCACGGTACAGCCGGTCTTTTTTTTTGCTTTTGGGCTTCTTCCCCTCGCACCAGAAGATCCAGCTTCGCACCAGAAATTTTTCACCTGCTTCTTCACATGCTTCTTCGATGAACATCGAAGATGAATCCACTTTGTAGTTCCAAAAAGTGAAGCCCCGCATCAAAAAGTGAAGCCCCGCATCAAACGCCTCTCACCAAAGTTCTCGACATTCAAAACATCCTTTTGACCCCATTATCCATCTTTTTTGCAATTATAGGCTAACTACAACCATCCTGACATCCACAAACCCTTATGACATTTTTTTATAAACCTGTTATGTGAGATATTGTGAAAATGAGTCTTAACAAATGAAATAATGAGCATAGTAGTCATTTCAAATGAGTTTGTTGAATGCTCATTTCGTAATTTATGTATACTCATTGTATATTAGTGCAATACTCATTTTAAAATGTCATATTTATGCATGTTTCAAAATGAGTTTTATGTTAAACTCAAATGAGTATAACACCCAAAATGAATGAGCACACACAAATGAGTTTTTAAATATTTGATACTCATTTTGTAAATTATGTATGCTCAGTTGGTACTGTTTTATGCTCATTTTAAAAGGTTGCACATATCAACTATAACGCCCAAAATCAATGAGCATACATAAATGAGTTTTTCAATTTTTTGATACTCATTTTGAAAATTATGTATGCTCATTTGGTACTGGTTTATGCTAATTTTAAAATGATGCACATATCAAACATAGCATGCTACATTAGATTGACATATTGAAATTAATTATAAACACTATTTAAGAATTTTTTATAAACGGAAATTAATAAAAAGAAACTGAATTAGAAGATATGAAGCAGAGATCACTGGTGCTCATTATTATGCTTTTAATACTCAGAATAACAAACTCGATGCTCATCCAAATTATGTCAATGCTCATTTAAGAAAATCACGAACTTCACAAAATTTACCAAAATGCCACCGGCTGTACGGTGCCAGCCGTACAGCCGGCTGTATGGTATACGCATCCCCTTTCTATGAGTTCCTGTTCTCTTTTTACACCATTGCAAGGCCTCACGCACTGTTTTCCTTTGCTTTTGAAGCACTTTTGGCTTTTTTTTTTAAAAAAAAAAAATCTAATTGGAGTGAAAACAAAAGGAAGCTTTAGCTTCAAAAAAAGTGATTTTCGTGTAAAAGCTGGAAGCTACTCCCAGCATGCTTCTATCTGCTTTTTTGATTTTATTGTAATTAAAGACAACTCTCTGGATAGTTATACTAGGGTTGGGCAAATCGGTTTACAGTTCGGTTTTTATTGGGTTCAGTTCAGTTTCAAGTTGTTCGGTTTAGCGAAAAATGTATTTCGGTTTGGTTTCGGTTCGGTTCGAGAAATTTTCGGTTCGGTTCGGTTTGATGTTCAGTTTATAAATTTAAAAAAATAATGTATAATTTCATATTTTTAAGTCAACATTTACTAATTTGAAATGGTTTATTTTAGGTTAAATCCAAACCAAATAAACTAAAACAAAGCAATAAAATCAAAATAGAGTTTTTTTGGTGTTGTGTGTAAAATAGCAATGGTGTACAAGCAATGTGCCAACATAAATAAAATAGGGAAAATGGAAACTAATAATCCAACCTTTTCGCGGTCTTCTTTCAATAATCCCACCTTTTGATTATTCATGAATAATCCAACCTTTGCACCTCATCTTCATTCACTGGTCCCTGACCGGTTGATGACCTACTATTCCAAGCTATTTTCTTATCTTTGCAAATCATTATACCATAAATCTCATCTTTCACAAAAATAGTATTTTGGAAAGATAAGTGATGGATTACATGGACTCCGACCCCCCCGGTATGCCGACTACTAGGCCTGGACAGCGGCCCACACACGTTTAGCAGATATCATTATATTATTGTACATTATTATTATTATTCAGATGTTCTAGATTATCTTTTTATACTATCAGTCCATTTATGTAACCGGGTCTGTCAGGCCCATATTAGAGGCCCAGACCCGGATTTTCCCTATATATACTCCTTATAGGAGGCTTGTAACTCATATAACAAATATTCATTCTATACACATTTCCTTCTTCTTCATCATTTCTTCCCTATTCTTGCTCAATCTCTCCTGTTTATACAATATGGGTATCAATTATCCAACAATGGTGCTCTCATTGAGAGGTTGAACACAATCAAGTGAGAAAACCTCCCAAAATACCAAAAATTTCATACAAAAATTTCAGCCAAAAAAATTCGTTCTGAAAAAAAAAAAAAAAGATGCTGGAAGCACCCAGATCCAGAGAGAGTCCGAAGAAGCAGCCATGGCCCAACCAGCCCGATGGCGACGCTACACCAATCCGGAGGTGGAGTGCGAGCTCCGACCTGCCTCGAGCTTCACCACCCCAGCCGCGACCTTTTCATCAAGCCGGATCACTGGCGGTCATCCTAGCAGTGGACTCATCCACCAAGAGCCTAGCAAGCTTCCGCCATTAATGGCAGTCCAGAGCTTGGCCCACAACTCGAGCAGCTGCAACATCGGAAGGTTCAACCATTGGACACTCCTCCCGGCTGGTTGCGTTTCGGACCCTAACCTCTGTCAACGCAACCGGATTTTTCCGGCTGAGAGTCCTTAATTTCCGCCATTAGTGGTCAGTCGACCGCCCACCGGAGACAAGTTTTTCCGGCCACCCTTGCTCCGCTACAGCAAACATCCCCACTGTCACTAAGCGGCACGAACTGTTGCTATGGGTTGGCGATGTGTTCTTTAAGATGGATGTGTTCTTCCAGAAAGCATCTTACCGTCATCCCCTTCTTCCGATGTGTTCTTCCAGAAAGCCTCTCCACAAGATTCTCCTCATTTGGTTCTAAGCAGACCACGTCCTCTAGATGGATTGAGGCCAAGCAAATGATGGCCAATTTCCTTGGAGAAGAATTGACCAAGTCAAAATTGGCAAGGGGAGACCACACCTGATTATAGTTCTCGTGGCAGAAGCTTTATCTCCAAAAAGACTAAGTAGCTAAATACTCCTCTTAATCATCTTCTGTCAGGCCCCATTCCAACTAAACCAACCACACCAATTATCGCAAGAGGAAGCTGCCAGCTTTCAGATGTGATGGCCGACAGAAGCCACATGATGGATGGCCAGTTTGACCAAGTCAAAATTGAAGAGAGGAGTCCAATCTAATTCCAGGACACTCTTAGAACGGTGGGAGCCGCTATTTCACAAGGCTGAGCTTGTCCAACCCATATGGATCATCTTCTCTAACATAATTAATATCTGAAAGATAAGTACCCTTTAATTTTCATATTATTTATATTTATTTAAATAAATTTTTTGTCAGGTGTATGTCACACTATCACGCACTTATGATCAAAATGCCTAGTAGAGTGTGACTTGAGACCCATCACTAGGATTTAAAGCCCTGACTCCTCAGGCACAAAGCCCTGTCTCCTCAGGCACAAAGCCCCGACCAAGTCGGGCATGAAGACAAAATCCCGACCAAGTCGGGTACGAAGACCGGTCTTAGTCATTCTTCGAGTGGCGACCGTTGCTTACGAATGGCTCACACATCCATTCTACTAAGTATTTTATCATTACATTAACAATTCACATCTCCACTTGTTTCAAGTGACGAACTCCCGATCGGGAACATAAATCCCAAGAAATTTTTTTTATATGTATGATAAATGTGTAGGTACGAAGATGACTTTACTCATTTTCACCTCGTCTCCACTCGCCTCAAAGAGTGGGGACTGGGGGCCTGAGGGGTCAGAGTTTCTAGATGAGCAGAAAATATCACGCAAGAGCAGGAACGAGAGCTGAGTCAGTTGAAGAGGAGCTGAGCTAGATTGATTATGCCGGAGGGGATTTACCTTCCTTGTTTCATGTTGGGGGCGCTAGGTGTACTCTTTTTCCCTTTATTAGGATTTTTTCCCACTGGGTTTTTCCTAGTAAAGGTTTTTAACGAGGCACCTCTCCATAATGGACAAGGGTGGTGGTCCCCCGGCCAAAGATGAAGAACGTTGCAGATACAGTTTGGACTACTCCCTTTCGCCTCTAGTACTCTCGACTCAGGGAGTGGGGGACTCCTGATGGATTACATGGACTCCGACCCCCCCGGTATGCCGACTACTAGGCCTGGACAGCGGCCCACACACGTTTAGCAGATATCATTATATTATTGTACATTATTATTATTATTCAGATGTTCTAGATTAGCTTTTTATACTATCAGTCCATTTATGTAACCGGGTCTGTCAGGCCCATATTAGAGGCCCAGACCCGGATTTTCCCTATATATACTCCTTATAGGAGGCTTGTAACTCATATAACAAATATTCATTCTATACACATTTCCTTCTTCTTCATCATTTCTTCCCTATTCTTGCTCAATCTCTCCTGTTTATACAATATGGGTATCAATTATCCAACAATAAGAAAATAACTTGGAATAGTAGGTCATTAACCGACCAGGGACCAATGAATGAAGATGAGGTGCAAAGGTTGGATTATTCATGAATAATCAAAAGGTGGGATTATTGAAAGAATACCGCTAAAAAGTTGGATTATTAGTTTCCATTTTCCCAATAAAATATAAGTAGTGATTTACATGTGGTGCAATGAGCAAAATAGCAATGATTTAAATGGTTAATAAAAGTGGGTGAGGGCTTTGGAGTTTGGACAGTTACATATAATGGACAAACACAATGTCGTATTTCACTGTTACAACCAAACTTACAATCTCCATACTGCACACACATATGTGTGTGTATGTGTGTGTTGTTCGGTGTTCGATTCAGTTTATGGTTTTTCCGTTTTAAACCAAACCAAACCAAAGTACCAAACCATTTGGTTTGAGCAAATGTTTACCAAACAATTTACTTAAGTAAACCCCAACCAAACCAAATCAAACCACCAATTTTAATAATATATGAAAGTTTTTTTGCGTTTCTTTAGTTCGGTTTGGTTTCTTTAGTTCGGTTCGGTTTTGAGTTTTATCGGTTTCGGTTCGGTTCGGTTTAATACGGTTTGAAAGAAATAGTACCAAACTCAAACCAAATTGCATACGGTTCGATTTCGGTTCGGTTTAGTTCGGTTTGATACGGTTTGGTTCGGTTAAACCAAACCGTTATGCCCACCCCTAAGTTATACCATCCCATTTCCCACTGATATCCAACTTTACCCTTCTCCCATCCCTGAACGCAACCTTCTCGATAACTATCAGAAAAACTCTCGTTCTCTCCTTCTCTGCGTTGCACGTCCCCAACAAAATTTGGTTAGTGAAGGCTGCTCTAGCGGTAAAGCTCCCGTTCTCTCCATCTCTCAATAGACGAGAAAGCCAATAAAAGATTGAGATTTTTTAAACCTACGAAAGTACAAATCAAATTTGTTGGAATGAAGAGACCAGATCAACGCTCTCTACTCTGTAGATGCGTTCAGCCCCCAGATCGACTCCCCCAAATTTCCCTTCGTATCTGGGGTTGAGAGACTATTTGAGAACCTCTTTACAAACCTCTTTTGAAAAAATGCATATCTGAATTTGATTTCTTTTCATATACCAGTGGTGGAACACTGAACACAATTTTGAGTGCAGAACAAATTGTGGTAGTAAAAAAAAGTATGATATTCCCATCGTTGCAATGAAGTAATTGAGGGATTACAAAGAAATTAGGTTTCGTTTAGCAGGAGAACCGTGCGTTAGGAAATAGGGAGTATTTGATCTCGAGAGAGGAAGGTGAGCTGGTATATGAAGGAAGGATATTTTTGTACATTCAAAAAAATATAATTTCACAATCACTTTTTTACCAAACATTCCAACTTTAACTTTTTCATTTTAATCACTTCTATTCTCAAACGTAACACTCCCAACTTTTATCATTAATCACTTTAAAAAAACCTTTACAAAATCACTTTTGCAAAAGTTAAGCAATAGCAAACATAGTAGAAGCTGGTTCCAGTAGCTATTTTAATAAGCAACATGGGGTTTCTCCACTAAAATCAATTGAAATTTTAATTTTTATGTCCTTTTGTATTTATAATGCTTAACTTATTATTAGTTAATATGCACCAAACACTCTATATGAAAACATGGAATCAGACCATCACTTCTATGTGATAAACTATGAATGATAAATTATTAATGTTTGGTAAAATCCGTTTTTATTCTTTGCATGCGGGTAGCATGTAAAATTGATATTTACGGAGTAATAATTTACTACTACGTATACAATTACTATACAACAGCAAGCCGAAGTGCTATTATTCTTACGAAAAAAAACCACTTTTGGTCCCATGATTATTATACCACTTCCACATTTAGTCCCTTACTTTTAGATTGTCCACATTTAGTCCATGACCATTATCCCCTCACCACCCCTCGTCCTTCCGGCCAAAATTCCGGCAAATTTAGTCCACTTCTCAGCCTCAGAATCAGTCTTTGCATTAAATTTTGTATCAGGTTGGGGTTTTCATACCAGTCTTTGCATTAAATTTGGTTTTTCATACCTAAAATCCGCATTAAATTTGCCATAATTTTGGCCGGAAGGACGAGGGGTGGTGAGGGGATAATGGTCACGGACTAAATGTGGACAATCTAAAAGTAAGGGACTAAATGTGGAAGTGGTATAATAGTCATGGGACCAAAAGTGGAATTTTTTCTTATTCTTACCGTCTTTTATTCGATGCCTTCGATCCAAAACGCTAAAGCAGCTCACATAATTCAGTGTTTCATGATGAGCCAAATTGAGCCAAAAAAAAGTCGTTTTTAGCAAACCAACATTTTCCAAACACGGTTTTAATGTTTCAAAAGTCTAATTTGCCCTCTAATTTTACCCCTATTGTTAATGATTTAATAATTATTTGAAAATAAAAGTAATAATCAAATATGATAAACATAACAATGTAAGTATGTAACTGCAATATTACAAACATAACAATGTAACTCCAATTTTACCTCTGTCTTAACAATTACTTTCTTCGTTCCGTTAAGATTGTCTCGGACACTATTCACTTGGTTAATACAAATCACTCTTAATCTCTTACTTTATATATCAAATTTATCAAATTTTGATTCAAGTTTTTACGACTTTGTAAATCTTTTAATGTAGTTTCTGAATATGTAATTTTTTTTACTAAAAATAATTTGAGAGCGGACGGAGATCTATTTGTTTTATCACCGGTCAAGCGTTGTAAACCGAATTGTCTCAATCTTAGTGAGACGGAGAGAGTATTTAATAGTGTACCCTTAACATAAGATAATGAAGTGTGATGGAGGTACAAAAAGTTAGGAAAAAAGACTACATGCGAAGACTTGCTTTCACAACTCGTTGGAAATATGAACATTAAGGGACAACATGAATTGTCTTGGTCCGATCCCATCGAAACTAAGCCTCCATATTTTTTTTATTCATTTTGACAACAAGATGTGAGAACTGCATAAAATGAACAAAAAACACTCCAAATCAAACCAAACTGTGAAACTTAAAGCCTAGTAGAGGACCTCAAGTTCCAAAAATGATCAATAAAAGATCAGGTTCATTAAAAAAATATTAAAATACGATCCCACTCATAAGAATACACATGCACTGATGCACATGAATAGATTCAATTCAAGCGTTGCAATTAGTTTGTCACCAGTCCTTTCGTATCTCTCTTCAATTCAAACGATAAGCATGTTTTGTGTGTGACACACAATAAAATTGTGCTTAAAAACCTTCACACATGTGCGTAAAAATGTGTACAATAGTAAAGTGTGTATGACAAGAAAGATTGTAAATATAAATTCATTATTTTATGAGCTTAAAGATTATTATGAAAAAAGGCGAACACATGTTGTTACGTGGTTACATTGTTAAGAAATACTCCCTTCGTCCCTATACTATCTCCTCCTTGTAAACGCATACAAATTAAGATAGTGAGTTTTGTCACGCCCCAGACCGCAATCCAAGCGCGTGTACAACCGCCGTATAATTAAGTGACGTCACCCGCGAGTCGACCTCACTTAATTACACAAGGCGTTTGAGAAAACAATCCATCCATACTCAGTAGTAAACATACATAACAACATCACATTTAAACCAATGAATAGCGGAAATATTCAACGGTAAGTCATAAGCCACAACCGGCCAATAACATGAGCATGCAAGCCCAAAGATGGTTTATAACAAATAAAAATATCCATGAGCAATGTTTGGTACTTTGAAATAAAATGAGGAAGCACGAACCACGTCTTCCTTGATTTGATGTCACCCGTAGAAAGGTGCAGGTAGCAAGCCCTAGCTTCAACCTGAAAATGGTGGGGCCCCCCGAAGGGGTCAGTACAAGTACCGAGCGAGTAGCAGGCTAAATATAGAATAACTAGTGTTTCAAGTATAAGACCCAAACATAGGGTGATACATATACGTATAGTCCTTTCCCCAAGTTTGAAATACATATTTGTATACATACACTTGGAAATACCCGACCCGTAGGTCATTGTTTATTTGGGAAAATAATAGTAGCCAATATCCTTGACTTAAATCCCAACCCACCCATATACCTATGAGTGTATAGAACTCCTCCTTGTTCAAATAATTTATCATAAGGACACCGTCCGGTCCTAGATCATTAAATGCAATCTATGAGTTTTGAGGATACACGCCCGATCCTTGGGTACTCCACCCTATAATTGAGTTTTGAGGATAACCGCCCGATCCTTGGGTACTCCACCCTATATAACCGAGTTTTGAGGATAACCGCCCGATCCTTGGGTACTCCACCCTATATAACCGAGTTTTGAGGATAACCGCCCGATCCTTGGGTACTCCACCCTATATAACCGAGTTTTGAGGATAACCGCCCGGGCCCGATCCTTGGGTACTCCACCCGACCTATGACTTACCACATATCACACTAGATAGGGTCTATATCATATTTAGTCAATCATAACTAATTCAATACATAAAGCTTATGTATCACAATCCGTGCAAATCCATGCAACCACATAACTGTAAAATTAACTAATATCAACCGATATTAATTAATCCATTAACCATCGGTCAACGTTGTCGTTGACCGCCATTTCAAGTTTTACATTCTTTAACTTAATCACCATATAATCAAGTTAATAATATCCCTTTATGCCTCTTTTACACTTCAAGTAAATATGCATTCTTATATAATTTATCATATCATATTTCATGCATAAACAATTAATTCCTTCCATACACACTTGACTATGTTGGCTAATCACATGTTTAAATATCTTTTAAACACCATTATGAACACAAATAACATTTATTTAGGTAATCTCATAATTGACCCAAAAGTTATAAGATATTAAGCCGTCCACTCACCTTGAACTAGCGTTATGAAGTTCTACCCCTCTTGGTTGAA